TTTTTGATGATTTTGATAAGGTATATCAGTTAAAGAAATAACTGTTTTGTGAAGTTCGTGGCCATTTTCTCCGTTTTCTACTTTTCGACACAATGAACTTCAAAATAGCATAACTCTACTCAGGAATGACCGGTTTCAAAAATTAAACCACCTATTAAAAGGAAAAAGAACATATGTTAACAATATGTAAAAATATATTTTTCGACCTTATGCCCAGAAAAGTCTGATTTTGACAGAACAGGTCACATATTGGTTGAAAAAAATCAATTCTTTTTCCCCTTGTTGTTAATTTGCTGATTTGTAAACAACTCGATCAAATTAAACCCTCCCCCCAAACAAAAAGGGTTTCAAGGTGAAATTTCAAATTTCAAAATCAAATTTCAGATTTTCACTTAGAGTGGTCGCCGTCTTTCTCGTTTTCACACAACCCAGAACATTATATATGGGCATCCCTTTTTATCCCCCTGGCATTTTTAAGCCAAGAAAGTGGGATCTTGCGATAGTGTATTCCTTCTGTGTGTCCGTGTGTTCCGTTTTGGTTAGGTTAACTGTTTAGTGCTGTCATATGAAAGTCAGATTTCAATCTCAACCAAATGTGGTGACAATAATCTTTGGGTAGGGGGACGTAAGATGACTAGAGACATTTGAGATCAGAGGTCATGTAGGGGTCAAATGGGGTCATTGTTGCTTTTGGTTAGTTACACTGAAAAGTGTGCTTACTAACTGACTGTATAAATACTGCCAGCATGCCAGGGGGATCGCCCAAGTTAACTTGCAGTATTTTTATAGGCCTTTTCACACTAGAGCCTCTCAACCTGGGTTGAACTCAACCCCCTGCAAGGGCGCGAACCCTGGGTTGAGTTTTTTTATATTTTTCAACCCCGCGTTCAATCCCGCATCGTTTCGCACCTGTTTCGTGCAAACCGAGCTGAGTTCGCCTGTTACTACCGTTTTGAACCCTGGCAAAGTTACAACGCGGTTTGAAAATCTCAACCCTGGTCTGGAGCAGGGTGAAATCAGTCTTATTAGGGTTGACAGTCGCAGGGTTGGCACAGGGTTAAAAAATCTGGTATTTAGTTTCAATACCTTTTCAAACATCACAGAGCCTGATTGTTTGAATTTTGGATTCATCATTTTTGTTTTCATTTGCGACTTCTTTTTTTGTTAATGGGAATCCGGACAGACTCCGCGGTAATAAAGAAGTTTTTTTCTTGGATCGGGAGCCCAAAAAAGGGTCAGTCGGATGTGAGAACATGAGGCCTTTTCACACTAGACAAATCTTGGGGTTGACGCGGTGTTGACGCGGTGTTGACGCATAGTTAAAAACATGTGGCGTTTCGCACTTGGAACTTATCTGGTTACTGAAATTTCAGAAGGTGAGACTGAGAGGATGTTGCCTCTACTCATCATTTTAGGTGTGTATAGTATGCCTTTACTGGTATGTAATGGCTGACACCACAGTCATAACGTCAGTGAGCTGCATGGTTCAGATATAATGTAGGTCAACCACTTCTTGCCAAATATGGTTTTATTATTTTATTCAGTGATATCAACTCACGATAAACTCATTGCAGTAGACAAAACTACAGACGATACGCACTTGACATCATTTAATTTAGCCATCTCTATGAGTGCAACTGCAGTTTTGTTTCTTCTTCATTTTGTGAATTTTTTTTTCGACCGACTGGCCCTTCTTCAGAGGCAAAAATATATGACAACCGTAGAAATAAAAAGGGACGCCCTATTGCGCGACAGAAAGATAAAAATCAACAAGCCTTTATTTGTCATGCACCATAGACCTTGAAAAGAGCCCGGTTTTTCCGTCCCAGTGAACCCAAATTAATAATTTCCCGTGGCCTATATTTTTCTCCCCTCATCACTTGGCAGTAATCCAATTTTCACATCCGATCATGAAACAGGTCTGGGAAAAAACCCACCCCCCCCCCTTATTTTTCCATTCTTTTTCTAATGTGTTCCCACTCTGCCAGAAAAGTACAGATACCTCTCCAAATAAGATTGAATGTAAAATCAAACATCAGGAAGGGAGCTGTTCATTGCCAGCTGCCTGAATTTAAAAAAAAAAAAATTAAAGTTGACACGGTGCTTCAAACACGAGGGTTGACGATTTACAACAAGGAGCATTGGCAGTTTCCGGGAACACCTGCTGGGATTAATATGAGAGTTTGACTGGGCGACAGCTTCTTTGATCTCACAGAATTTTCGTCAAGGGTGTTTGAAGTACCGTGTAGTATCACGTCAGGGAGATGTGAGACGCACTCGTAGACCAAGTCTCGAGTCGGCTGGATGTAATTTACCTTTTTCTGGTCAGGTTTAAAAAAAAAAAAATTTTTTTTTTGGAAAATTGATTGAAATTGGCCAGATGAAGGGTAGACTGATTATCATGTGGGATGGGACATCTCAAGGTATGCTGACGTGTTTTGGTGTATGATAGCTGGCAGAAAATATATAAGAAGATCAAAATTGAGTTTGCTTTCCAAAATAAATTAACCAGTTTTGGTTTTGTGTAAAAACAACATAGGGAAGTGGTATGTAGCTACAATATTTTACAGACGGACGTTTTTAATTGGTATATTTAGTAATGGTGAATGTGGCCGAGTGGTTAGAGAGTCAGGGGTTCGAATCCAGGTGCTGGCTATACGTTGTGGCCATATGTTGTGTCCCTAGGCAAGCCACTTCACCCCTTTTCACCCAGGAGTATACATGTAAATGGGTTCTGGCATTTAAGCCTTAGCTGGGGAGTAACCTACAATGGACTGGTATCCTACGTACAGTGCGTCCCAAAATACCCGCAACTTTATGTTGCGTGGCTCTAGCGTCGGCGCGGAAACGCGTACCGCCATTATTTTAATACCAATTTAAAGCTTGAATTTTAACTTTATCCATGGCGAGTATTGGTTTGATATTGAAAAAGGTTGTAAAATAATTTGTGTTCAATAAAGTCATATCGAAAACAAACTCAACTGATTTCATGGAAAATCGATGATGCGGTACATCAGATGCAAACTCGAGTCAACAAGCTGATGAAATAACAAAAAACACCAGTTGATTTATATTAAAAATGCATTGAACTGGAGATGAAGAACAGTATTGTGAATTTATTTAAGGTATAGCCTACGTGGATCGAATAGAAAAGGAAACACAGAAAGTTAAAGGTAATGAGATTGTCACATCATGAACATGATAGCATTTCCACATTAGAAAAAATGCGTGTGATTGATTTTCCTTGAAATCGGTTGAGTTTGTTTTTGACATGCCTTTATTTGAACACAAATAATTTCAAAACCCTTTTGAAAGTCAAACCAATACTATAACCAGGGATAAAGTTAAGATTCCAAGCTTTAAAATGATATAAAAATAATGGCGGTACGTGTTTCCGCGGCGACGCTTGAGCCTCCTAAATAAAATGTTGCGGGTATATTTTGGTACGCGCTGTAGTGGGAATCGAAAATTCAAATTCCTTGCATAAATTAAGTAATCTTTTTATTTCATTTTTGTGTCCATATGTTTGAATGTGATGGGAATGAGGTACACTAACCCAATATTGCTACAGGTGCAACATTGTGTTCTCTTTCAATTAGCATACGGCTTGTGATTGGTCAGTTTCGTAATAGTCAATACTTGACAGGTGAAATTGGCAGGTGTGCCAGGATGATCACGGTGAAGAGAGCAAACAGTGGGCACGGTGCTGTGGCAGTGACTCAGGGTTTCCGGTGGGAAAACCAAATAAAGAGTCTTCGTTTGCATTGCTACATCATACATCCTACTGAAATCACCAGTAGGGATATCTACAAACAAATAATTTGAAACAATTTTCCATATACCTTAAAGAAATCACATGGGAACATAGTTTAATATTTCTGAATTTGTTGTAATACTGCACAGCCGAGTGGAATTTTGAGCAATGAGTAGAATGATTTTAACCCCACCCCTTCAGACCCTTTGAAATCCACTGGTTGGGTTTGGAGGATTTTTGAGGATTTTGTAGGATTAAGGAAGATTGAGCCCAGCCACTATTACTTTCCTGCACTCGAGGATATTGGAGGATTCAGGAACGTAGAGCCCAGCCACTATTACTTTCCATGGGGCTTGATACACTTGAAACTTGGTAGGTACAAGGAGTGTGCCATCAGGTTCCTCAACAGTGTAGGATTTTGTAGGATTTGAGACTATTATTCACTTAAGGCCAGAAAAAAAATCTCCGGTTTCTGGTATGCGCGTGCGTCGCCGTAGCCATGCGCGTCGGCAAAATGAAAAAGTTTTTTTTTTCAATGAAAGATGATGTCTCAAAACCGCCAAACTCACTGGTTTGACTGGAATCCTGCTGCTGCACAATTTTAACGTGTTTTTAGATGGGGTTACGATCGAGAATAAGCTTTATGTGACCTCTCTGGACTCTCACATATTTGCAGTAAGTTTAGTCGGGCACCATTTGCAGTCATCAGCCGACATTTGAAGAAGAAAAAAAAGGGGTAAAAAAAAAAAAAAAGCTGCTTCGCCGCACCACTTTTTTGGCAAGCTCCCTACCAGAAACCGGAGACTTTTGTTTTTTGGCCTTACAGTCAAGTATGGTATTTCATAATAATTTAGTAGGTTTTTTTTCCGGATGTTTGCAAATGATGTGTATTGTATATTACCTTGAAGTTACCGTGTGTGGTTATGTTGTGTGCATATGTTAACAGTACTGTGAGATGCCCATTCAAAAAACAATGTGGCGATGTGAGGTATCAAATACTGTGGGAGTTAATGGAAGTGACGTTCAATGCTACTCGTGAATATTGGAGATACTGGATGTAGTGTGTGTAGTTTAGACATCTGCGCAAGTAAGAAGAGGTTGTGGGTTCGAGTCCCACCGAAGTAACTCTGTGAGGATTTTCTCACAAGATTGTAGAATGCGGTGACTAGTACTGCTTAATAGTATCCAGTTGAGATGGGCAAGTGTTTGTGGATATATTGAGAGTAGTCTTCTCTCGTTTTTGCAGCAGCTCAAAAGCGAGGCAGTACGGGAAGTCGCGAGGCCCTGAAACGAGGCAACACGACAGAGGGCCGTGATGGGTTGAAACCGCCGACAGCTGACATCGACCAGGCCTACACCATGATGCAGCCCATCCCGAAGCACCATGGCAACAGCACAGTGCATGATGGGACGGCCACCAAGGCTTCTGGGATTGCTGGGAACGTTCCCAAAGCGCCGACGGCCAACAGCCACCGGGAAGGGAAATCGCGGGGCAGTTTCTCTTCACCGTCGAGCACGAAGCCCTTAAGCTTTGAGGCAAAAATGAAACCCAGCGAGATTCTTGTCCGCAGCATGTCTGACTCGAAGGAACCGATCCTGGACACCTATATGACTATGGCGTTTCAACCCAAGAACAGCAAACCAAAATCACCTGAGATTGCCAAACCTGGTAACGTCAGCCCTAGTTTGGACAACATCGACGAGAACGACAATCCAAAATCGAGTTACGTAAATGTCAGTTTACCAGAGGCGTCGCCCAAGCCCAAGCAGCCTGATAGCGATTACACCTTTATGGTTCCTTCATCAAGACCCGCGAATACTAGAAAGGACTCCGATAAAGGCCAGAGTCAGTCGGCCGTGGAGAGTCTACTGAAGGGGAGTAGGAAAGCGGAGGCATCGCGAGGAAGCGAGTACATGAACGTTGACTTCTCGAAGGGCGGGGTACCTGGTGGAGAATTGCCCGTGAGGCCCGTACCCCCGATTCCTGCAAGGGTTCCCGCTGGGAAACGTGAAGACGGGGAGTATATGAACGTTGAGCCGGGGCTGGGCGTCCGGCCACACAGTCCGCGCTCACCCACGTCGCCGCCGGTGTTACCGCAGCGGGTGGTGCTACCACCCAGAAACCCCTCAACACCGCCCTCACTGTCACCAAGCTTATCAGGAAATGGAGCAGGGCGCCGGGCGGCCGATTTGAAAACCGGAATGGAGGATCTCAACCTCAACGAAGGCTCCTCTCCGACTTCAATAGGAAGTGCTGGCTCCTTAACCTCCGGGAACAAAAGTTGCGAGCCCTCCCCTGGTCCCCCTTCCCGCCACTCCTCTTGCCGATCAAGCCAAACCTCCCTCGCTGACCGAGAACTGAACTACATCGACGTAGACATTGGTCAACCAGACGCGAACAGCGCCCCCATCACCTTAGAGCGGAGGGCACGATCCCCCTTCACTCGCCGAGCAGCCGAAGAAGACAAATCGGACAAACCCACAAACTACGCCACCATAGACTTTACCAAGTCCGAGGGTCTGCGCAGCGCAACCACGACACGAGAAAACAGACCGTTATAAATAATTCTTTTCAGGGAAATCATCCCAACTATGCCTTCACTTGTTTTACTGGTTGTATAGATTTTATTGTCCTTTTTTTTTTTTAGGTCTGTTGTCTTATTTTGGTACTTTTTACCCAGTGTGTCATTTCAAATAGAAATATCCAACTATTTTGTGTTTGATGACCTTGGTTTTGAAAGAGGTTTCTCAAAACAAAGAAACCTCGCATATTCATCACAGAAAAGATTTATTTGAAATATGACACCTTGCCTTTAAAATCGGAAAGGCAACCTGTTTGTCCATTTCATTTTTGTAATTAGCAACATTTTAAACATGTATTCTTATTGGTTTTTGTTTATTTTTCTGTTTTAAATGTTGCCCTTTTTTGTGAACAAATTAACCAGAGAGGTTGATTTTATCATTTTTGTTTCAACTTATTCTCATTCTTATTCTTTGTGTCGCTTTTTTTTAGCTGCGGCTGAGCAGTTGTACAAGTACATGTAGTAATGTCTCTCTGTTGGTTAGTTAGTTGGTTGGTAACAAACTTCACGACATGTTATTTTTTTTTGCAATCAATCACTTATTCCTCAGGCCCAACAACACCTGCTTCAGGTCTCCACTGACCAGAGCTTTTAATTTATTGCAGTCCTGAACTATTGGGTCACAAGGTCCCTCATTTCGCATTTGGGGCTAGCACTGTACTGCACACAAATTGACATGCTATAAAACGCTCCATGCACCAACTGACATTCAACAAAATAATGGGAATCCTTTTCAATTGTCAGTCACGACCACGTGAGTAGTTGTGCCTGATAAGAACGGACTTTTACATCATGAACATGACTTATAGGCTACAGCAGGTCTACAGTTTGGCCGCAGCTTCCGCGATCAATTCGAGCTTATTTTATCAGTAAAGTATTCCAAGCCTTGTTTTGCAAAGTATCCTTTTGGAGGGATGTGAACTACCGACCTGGTCAGTGGCAGTCATGTAAAGTCACTGGTTTAAGATTCATGTCATGGGTTGTGTAAGCCAACTAGCAGCAAAAGGGGTTCGAACCACAGACCAAGGAAACAACAGTTGGGCTGTTCTACCCACTTGATCATGGTTGGGCTTTAAAGTTTGTGGCTCATAACACCTTAGATGTAGGTTTAGCGGAAGGGGTTGAACCAAGAACCACAAAAATGACAGTTGGGCTGTTCTCCCCCAATGCCAAAGACTTGACTGTAATTTGAATTTGAAACAGAGCTCCATAATGTTAGATTTGCAGCGTAGAGATTCGATCCCAAGATCAAGTGAAATATTATATAAACTGCAATTTCACTTTCAAGGTATCTAAATCACGGAGCAAAGATGGTATATTCTTACTTACTTGCAGGTAAATCTTAGCTTGAACAGCCAACCATATCAACAAAACCTCAGTTGCCACAATCACACAACGCCAAAAATACATACCATTTTGGCATTGTTGCACTAAATCATTGATTAGTTGTGTGAGACTCACTACGTGTATATACAAAAGTTGGACTAAATACTTAAAAATAACATGTATCTTTTATGTTGCAACCGTTTTCTTCTGTCCGTATTTTTGTATTTGACAAGTACTTTTCCAAACAAAGTTAACCAAAAATAAAAGACAAGCGTAGAGGCCGGTTAACTATAATTTTATGTAAAGATAATTTATCCAAAAAAAAAAAGGAAATCGGTTTGTTTGTTTGATTACATCTACTTTGTTTGTTTACTTGTGTGGTGAATTCAGTGGAGAGATTCGCACCACTAACTCCTGTTCTTGAAGTCCACTGTTGAACCAAGATATAACATATACTTTGTGTACCTGTATGCAGTGGCGTCGCCAAGGGGGGGCCAGGGGGGGCACGTGCCCCCCCTGGAAAACCTAGTGCCCCCCCGAGTGCCCCCCCATCAAATGCTGGTGCCCCCCTATCCTCTGCAAAATTCTGCGCGTTGTTAAAATCATTACCTCAAAAATAGCAATTTCTGGAGATATCTTCAGATCGAATTTAGCATCAAATGTGGCACCATTTTGCATCTAGCCCATCCTCCGTATGCGAAAATTTTCCAAAGGGGAGGGGGGCACCCCCCCCCTACCAAATGCTGGTGCCCCCCCTGTGCCCCCCCAGACTGAAAAGTCTGGTGACGCCACTGCCTGTATGTTCTGTGAAGTATTTGGACCAATACTTCTCGTACCTATACTCTGTTGTGCAGTTATACTACAGTGTGTATAAAAAAAATATCCATTTCGAGAAAAATATATTAAAAATAGTAGCTCCTATTTTGTTGAATAATAACTTATATACGCTTATAAGAAGGATTATTTCTCAACACAATGCTGTTTTCTCTATCTCATTTGGACACCTACATCATAGATATATAGACAGTTAATTGAAAGGATGATATGTTAACCCTAACAGAACTCAACCCATCAAACCCCATCAGCGTGATTTGTTGGAATATGTTGGGATGGGTACAGTACCCCTAAACTGACAGTCTTTTACATTGGGTTGGCACACCTCCAGAAACATATGTGTGTGTGCAGTTTCCCATATGGTGTTGGAATTTGCCAGGATGGGTATGGCTCCTTGTAAATCATGCTGGGGAGTTAGGGTTAATGTGGTCAATTGTATTTGCAGCAAAGTGGATGAAAGGAGATTAACATGCCAGCAATCTCTCTGTTGGCCAACTTTAATATCTATTGTTCTTGGCCACTCATTTTTTAGTTGGAACCTATGATTCATTGATCATGTAACTCATTTACCTTATCATTGGAACAATGGAGCATAAGTTTAGGTTGTTCCGACTCGATATTAATTGGCAAAGAACAATAGGTGAGTTGGCCAACAGAGATTGCTGGCATGTTAATCTCCTTTTATCCACTTTGCTGCAATTGGACCTTATTGACATATCAGCCCTTTCAATTAACTGTCCATATCTATAAATGTAGGTGTCCACATGAGATAGGGAAAACTGCATTGTGTTGAGAAATAATCATTCTTTAAGCGTATATAAGTTATTATTAAACAAAATAGGAACTAGTAATTTTAATTTTTTTTTCTTCTAAATGTATCCTTTTTTTAAATACACATTTTACCTGCTATAGTCCTGTAAGTATGCAATATTTGCCGTACACGTGACGCAGTACTACTTTTTTGTAATATTCAACCAACACAACCATTTTATTATAGCGAGGCTAACGTTCATACAAGCCATGTAAAAAGGGCAAAGATAATTAATTGTGGTGGTGTATCTTTGTACCTACAATCATGAGTACTAGGGGTTAAATTGTTGTAATGAAATGCAGCATTTTTAAGTTAAGTTACCAAAATATGGGTAGAGGCATTTCTCAGAGTAGTTGGACCTTATTTTGGCAATCGTGTAGTTAAGGACCCCGTTCCTCTATACGAGAACGAAAAGACACTTTCACGTTTTGAGACTCGGTACTTAAACATTTGGCTAGGATACAAGCAGGAAAAGTCACTTGATGTGTTTGGAATCATCTACAATAGTTCACTAAGATACCATGTTGATGTCACTTTCAGCTGCCCTAATGTTGTGGAAAGAGGGCAGGGTTTTGATTGATGAACCGAACTTGTAAACCGTAAGAGGTGTCCTAAACTACACAGTTACCTTTATTTCTGCTAATTACAGCTATGGCCGTTTTTCTTCTCCAGAGAACTTTGAAATCTTTTTTTTCCGTGAAAAGTAAAATTTAACATGTAGATAACTCCAATTCACAGGAGTAGGCCTAAAGATAAAGCGGTAAATATTGTTCACCTTCTAAGCGCAGAATCCCGCTAAGCACGGTAAATATTTGCTTAGAAAAATAAATGGCTACCAGCCAAAAATCCTGCAGTTTAACAATTCATTGACTGGTTCCCGGCCGCTTAGCAAGATATTTTCACTTAAGATCTTTTTTTTTATTTGAATTTTACTTTTTAGCTTCAATGATGTTTCCGAGCTGATTTTTTTCCTAAGCAAAATAACCGTTAGAAATGCTTCCTAAGAATGAGGTATTTTGTTGTTACATTTTTGTCAACCGCAATACGCTGAAAAATAATTAAGTATAAATAAGTACACCGCAGCTGTTTAATGGTGACGTCATTGTAATTATGCCTGCATTGGCGCATGCGCCATCAGTTCTTGACTCCATGTTCATTCACTCCATTTCGGACATTTGAACAAAACTGCTAATAATAATATATTTTAACAAAACTGATTTTAGTATTCGATGGAAGTGGTAATAACTCGACCTTTCCTTCAGTGACGTACTTTTTTTCTGCGCAAAAGTGAAAAAAAAAATAGTTTCTGTAGTTTTCGAAATGTCAAAGTTAAAGCCGGTGAAGCGTGAATATCCGACTCCATGAAATATGGACTCATTGGTAGTATTGCGCATGCATCCAATTTTCATAGGAGTCGGATTTTCATATGACACTGGGTCCGACTTTTTTAAATTCTCGCAAGCTTTTTTCGATACGCAGATATTTGATTTGAAAGTTTCTTGTAGTAGGAGTGGTTAAATTAGGAATATTTTGATTATGCTCATTTTATGTTGATTTTCGAGAATATTATTTTTACATTGAGTGTCTTAATTTTAAATGTACATGAAAAGGTGATGGTGAAGAAAATCCACCGAATTTCCGGTTGGTATTAGTAGCATGTTATTACGCTACAATTAGATTTAAAAAAACAAACAAATCAAAAATTTGGTATCGATATCACAAAAGCAAATGTAAGTTTTTAAGTGTGCAACCTGCAATTTTTAAACTCATTTACCCTTTTTGGTGTTTTGTTTTGTTCTCCGAAAAGAGGTACTGCTCTGTGAAAGGAAAAAAAAATAATCGATTCCTTCTTTTATCAATAATTATATAATCGTGGAAGATAATAATACGAAACCTCTGCAATCGGTATGAATGATAACGATTAATGAGTTTCGATCTACTTGAAAATCGGAATGAACGATTCGATACTTAATGAAATATCCCTACCTCGTGTACCTCAAAACTAATACCTCTAGTTTTTTTTTTTCTTTTTTTTTTTTGTACCTCAAGTTTTAAGTAAGAAGAAAACTGCCTCACGAAATCACTGTGGAGTTCTCTAACCTTCTAAATTCTATTATTTTGTGCATTCGTGTCAAATAGTTTAAAATTTAGAAAGTTCGAATCAGAAGTGAAGTTTTCAGCATCGACCATTTCCCCACTCGTTTACCAAGTTGAAGGAAACTTATTAGTCAGTGGATAACAAAAATTGATTAAAACCACATTTAAACTTTGTAAAAAAAAAAGAAGTTTGTACTATTTGGCGCTTTTTTAGGCGAAGTGTATTCAAGTTACAACGTGGTTGTTGCTGTTGAAATATTCAAAATTTGTGTATAAAAGTACATGAGAAACAGAGATATACTTTAAAGAAACAAAAATGATGTTTATGTTATGCTGCTGAAGTACATTGAAGTATGTATTAATAAAATAAAGAACAACTCACACTTTGGGTACTTTGTCTTGTTCCGTCTTGTAATTTCATGTCGTTGTCGTGCAATAGGCCACCAAATGGGGGCGCTGTAATGTCAGATTTTTGAGCCATAGAGGGCCGTGTTTCGTCGCCATTTTGAAAACGAGTTGAATAAAATTCCCATAGACACTAGTGCTAAGTGCGCATACTTCAAAATCCTTTTAGAAATACTTTGAACTCTCACAGGTATTCAAGCTGCACAGGAAAACGATGATCAACATGTCATCTTTCATTTTCTTTTCATTTTAGTTTGATGGGTTGACCATTGACTTTTCGACATATTCTCACCCAAAGAAGACGACCCCTATTTTCCCCATTGCGGAAACTAGCCAACTTGAAAAACGATCCCTCCACAACATGGAAAAATAGCGCCACTTTCGAGCCCGGCAGCATCCAAAATGCTCAGATAGGAAGCCCCAAATCCGGGCCAGTGGTTCATTACCGTATCTCTTCAATTCCTCAATTTTATAGCTCTCAAAACTCTCTAGTATAAAATATTTTGAGGGGTATAAGTTTTATTCATGAGCTCAGCGGACGGATTTTTGGCCTTTTTACAGGCGTGCACCCTGAATCTAATATTATTGACGTAAAGCATTAACTGTACTTCGATGAGAGTATTAAAGTGTTACTACTATGTGCTTCAATAAACAACATTTTTCGATTTTACATAAACTGGCGCTCAAAAATGTTGCCCTCCAAAGCTCATGCGTTGCTGGTCAAGCTGCTAAGCTGTGCTGATCGTTCAACTAAAACAATAAATGTTCCCGGCAGGAAGAGATGTAATATGTATGTTAAAATGTGGCAAGTGCATCCTTGAATATAACCACACATTATGCTTGAATATAAATTATGGACACCAGTCGTTGAATGAGGCTGATGACCAAGGTCAAGCTCAGCCTGAAAGCGAAGGCTAGCCGTTATATTAAATTATGCATTGTCCTTGTGATTTTCTGAAAGCTGGTTGGAAAATTAAATAAAAATGGTGAATATTTCCAATTTCAAGACCTCGATGTGTTGTTATTAAATGTATTGTTAAAGACGCTCATACCAAGGCTTTTTCGCATAATTGCTGTCAAGGTACATACAGGACAACCTTGATATTTCTTTTAAAAGAGGAAACGTCTTAACAATAGAGCAATCTTGAATTGCACTTGTAATGAGCGTAAAAATGAAAACTGGAATAGATCGGAGCGGAGTGACGAGTTTTTATCGGTTGCTTTATGTTGCCATTCGGCACTTATAACCATTGTGTTTCAAGAACAAATCGAGGAGGCCCAAGGGCGGATCCAGGGGGGGGGGGCCAAAGGGGGCCATGGCCCCCCCCCAAAACGAAACCAATTTTTTTTTTTTTAATGTGACATCGCAATAAAGGCAGGCAATGAGTACACCACCATCTTTTCCTCAAAAAAATTGGTTAAAGTGGTCAGAAATTGCCTCAGATCGCACCACAGAGCATCTAGAATCCAAAAAATTTTCGGGGCCCTCACGGGCCCCGAACCCCACCCCGTAATTTTTTAGACCCACTTTTTTTGGGGGGACCAAAAATTTTTTTGGCCCCCCCAAAAATTGTGTTCTGGATCCGCCCTTGCGAGGAGCTAGATAAGCCAATGTACAAAATTCCCGGATGTCCACGCCCACCGTACCTATAGTAAAATCCGGCGGCAGCCATTTTCTGCAGTGGCACCAGACTCGCGCGAGTCGCGCTAAAGAAGGACGCACGCACTCCGTGCTAGTTCGACCAACAGCAACCTCGTTCCCCATGGGTACGATCTTGCAGCGCCATGTTGTTTCCCATCATGCCTTGCGCGATCTTAAGGAACGCGCACGCGCCTATGGAGTCGAGACTGGACCAACAGGAATATCAAAAACGCGTCCTGGCGTTCAGCATGCGCGTGAGCGTGACATCACCGCAGTAAAATCTTCCAATTCTGGTCGCAGGATGCGGATTTGACTAATACAGAAAGCCCAGGAGTGGTGTAGCGGCAGCCATCTTAGTTGCGGCGTTTTAGCTAAAAGCGAGGCCGACGTCCCCACGGTGAGGCTCCCGATTACACCGACGGTTGTGAAAGTGCAATGTGTCCAAAATAATGGACACAAAATGGCTGTGCGTTTTCTGAAGTCATCTTCTGCGGCAACATAATGGAGATGCTAAGCCCGTTAATGATTGATTACCCAAAACAGGTTACCAGCGAAACTAATATGCATTGTTAAATAACATTGCTAAGCTCAGAAACTTACTAAGCAATTTTGTTGGCTTTAAAAGCTTGATGGATTTACCGAATTTGTCTTCTAATCGAAAGGCATATTAATGGTGTGAACAAATGACATAATTATGCACATTGATGTAAAAAGATAAACGTCTTGCTAATCCCACCAAGAAAATTAAATTCTCCTAACATACCCAGACCTCGGAAGTAAATTCTCCTTACATGCGTAGACCTCTACTGTGTGTGTCGCCTCTTATCATTAAGAAGATGCAGTGAAACTAGACAGGGGTGCCCAAGCGAAAAAAAAGTACGACTGACACCTGCTTAGAATCTTCGGTAGCGGGCCCGGCAGGTGTTTCAGGCGGGGCTGGAGGAAGGCTGAGTCGGTACGGATTAGGTCTGCGGCTCGGTGGTCTGTCAGTTATCCCGTAGTTTCGAAACTCGCTTTGCTATGGGACCTTTGGAGATTGTGAATTTCTATATTGAGGGTGCTTTACTATGGCCAGAGAGAGGCTGCGTCTGAAACCCAGAATGACTTGGCTCCGGCCGGCTCGTAGTAGCACACGTGTCTATGGGAAGTGGTTCAGCCGCTTCCATAGGCGCGTGTGTAATCGCAAGCGCAAAGCCCTAGCCACCTTAATTAGGACGCGGCTAAATGCACTACAGTCGAATCTCTTTAGTACGAACTCTGTTAATACAAAATTCTGGTTATAACAAACTTGGTCCCGACTGTGCATTTAGGTGCACAATGATGAATGGGACTGATGGTCCTCTTAATACAAAATTCTGATATAACAAAAAATATGGCTAGGTCCGAACGAGTTTGAATTAACGAGACTTGACTGTATTTGGGCTACCCATTTCCACTTTTCAATACTGTTTCTCTGCGATGTTTTTACAGAAAGCATGACGTAATCTTCCACAATATTTTAAAATGAAACAAAGACAGATTGGGCTCGCCATACCGTCATGGTTCCTTGACCAAATGTCCTAAATATCAGATTTCAAGTGAGATTTCTTGAAAATCAGACATTTATTTACCAGTGCAGTCACAAAAAGCGCATTTCAGATGATTTCTTTTTCTTAACATCGTGTTTGATTGTGTTTGGAATGTATCTTCATCCAAGTGTTTGTCGCCCACATTAAAAAAAAAATATTACTCAGATTTGTATGACTCGTGACTCGGACTCGAGTTCGGCTCGAGTCCCATTTCCCGTGATTAGGACTCGGACTCGACCTGCATGACTCGGGACTCGGACTCGGGAGAGGTGACTCGGACTCGATGTTTGGTGAATCGAATACAAGTCTGTTATTTCTGCATGGCTGTGATTTATTTTGACTAAAATAACCCCATTCATTTCTGTGTGATTACACGCCTGACTGGCCATAATAAGCCAGTGCAATTATGCGTCAGCTGGCTGTTCCGGGTATATAGATCTTTGATAGCTTTTTACAGTCAATGATTTAGTATTAAACACATTACGATGCAGTTTCACAACCCTTCAATACATCTGCAGTATCCATTCGATGACCTTTATGAATATTTAATACCAGCTATGACGTCACGGGTCACGCTTGAGCAGGAAGCAAAATAATTCCACCCAAAGCATCGCTCATGTGTTCTCCATGTTGCAAAGCATCCACATAATAAAACCCACATTTATTTCAAGGGATTAACATGTGTATGGAATGTAGATTGAAGCTGGTTATTATAAAAAGACCACGTCCCCCTCATGTCACGTGACAACACTTTTGGTAAACCATGGTCAATATAGGTTCTTACCTTATGTGAATAATGTTTGCTGTATTAAGTTAATTTTGTTGCTCCCCCAAAAACAAATCATGTTTACAGTTAAAAATGCAATGTGTTGAATTGCCTTCATTTTGAACGACGTCCTAAAAATCACTCCCGAAGTGAAATGTGGCCGTGGCCCTGCAAAGCTTTATTTCGAAAATTTCATCTGAAATTTTGTCTTTTGAGTTAAAACCTATTTGAGTTGGGACGACTTGAATTGAACTTAATCCTCCCACTTTTCATTAATGATCTGCTGTATTAATAAGCAGTCTTTATTATGGTGATGTATTTTAAGCGCTTGAGCTGTTAGTTTTAATAGCAAGTGACGATCCCTATCAAAAATCATTCCCGACCATGCACTGAGGTAGTCATGCGAGGAATATTAAACGCCCGTAAAGAAAAACTGTAATCACACGAGCTTGTGAACAAACCATACACCGTATCCACTCCTCGAGAAAAAGTCGCTAATTGCTCCCCTAAACCCACCCGTAATGACGCCACGAACAGAGCCAGTCGTTCCCCGCTTGTCGTCCATTATTGATGAGGCGCGCGCTCATGACTACGTGTCTCGTGTTTTGGTGTCTCCTTCATCCACGATGCTGCTTTCGCACCCCGTAAAACCCACCACGCGCTTGGTTGTAATTAGCGCGAGACCACCACCCACACACGCGCGCGCCCGTTGACCGCTATAGATCCCGCAGTCACGTTTCTCAGTCTCGCGACTTCAAATTTTCGATAAATCTCTCGGGTGGTTAGCGCTCGTCAGTTGCCTGTTTTTTAATAATAATAATCCAAGCTACTTGTTTAGGCAATGTGTCTTTGTCATAGCTGCCAACGGCTTGTCATTAATGACATTGCTGCCCGTTCTACAACATGTGGGTTGGTTGAGTGATGGCTTGCCCGACTTCTGGTCTCGCATGATTTTGCACTGTTCGGAAGGCAGTGGTTCACTTGGTGCCAGTCCTTTTTAAAAAGCCATTGACGTATGGAAGGCTAATGGCCTTGGCGGATATATTGCACTCGTGTTATGAGAACAGTGCGTTCGAGAAGAGCTGTGAGTTAAACGCTTGAAGTCTAGAGATCATATTTGACCATTTCAATTTCAGTACTTGTGCTTTTGATTACGGAATCGGTGAGTAAAGCTGATAAAGGTCCACGAATCTGCAGCACTCGGACTCTATCAGTTCAAGTGTTACAATGGTCAGGACTTTAAACACGACCAGGTTTGCCCAGGCGAGGTGGCCCCGGAAGTTTCAGTTTAGGTCTTAATTTATATTCAACTCAGTGACTCAGTTAGTCAGTCAGTAACTCCGTCAGCAACTCAGTAACTTTTGCTCAGTGACTCAGTCAGTCACTAACTCGGTATTACTCCGTCAGCAACTCAGTAACCTTAACTAGTAACTTTAACTCAGTAACTGCAACTCAGTAACTTCAACTCAGTGACTCAGTCAGTCAGTAGCTCAGTAAACCTCCAGACTCAGTAACTTAAACTTTAACTCATTGACTTTGTCAGTAACTCTGTCAGTATTACTTCGTCTGTAACAGTAACTCAGTAACTCAGTCAGAGGACAAAAGGATGGTCCTTCGGGTTCATTCAGCACAAATTCTCTTTTTCAAGACATCGCACCTCTTCCGTTTTTTTTAGGACTCGAGTTCTGAGATTGATTTCTTAAAAAAAACTATTACAAGGGAAATTTCGTCGCCCTAGCCAGCTTTGTTCACAGCAACAGAGACGGAAACCAGATCGATTCACAAACCAGACTATTCACCATTTATTATACTGAGTCTGTATTCGTGGTTTATTGTATACCATTCTTTACCCAAAATTGCCCCTATATTATGTTCCATGATAATTACACACTGAACGAAACTTGTACAACATTTTGAAAAACCCCAATATTATTTTTCTGCTGCCTGAAACAGTGCTATCGCAGATAACACGCGGCTCTAACAAAACTACTTGTGAAATATGTACATTGCAATAACTAATTGTTTAAGCTCTTTTAAAACGCGAATTGGTACCTTTACGAAAAGGCACGGATCGACAAAAATATATTCTACTAGCCTTAGCCAGGATATAACAGCGGTATTTACTTTTTACTTAAATAATAATACTCTATTTTTTTGGATATGCATAAAATACACCTTCAAGGTTAACTTAGCAGTGTTTCTTTTGGAGTAATTTATATGAAGTACTTTACTTTACAGCCTGGTAGAATTCTCCAAAAGGCATGGGCTTGACAACTCATCTTACGATAATTACATTGATGAATTACCGTACATTAAATTTAAGTGATTAAAACATTGCAATTACTTGGTAAACTGAGAGTTATTTTGCCTTAATGGGATTTACAAATTGCCCGTCCTCAAGGCTTTTGCCTACCCCGAAGAGCTCATCTCGTATCAATTATGTATACAAGGACAGGAAACGCGCTCTTAAAACTCCTGACAACTCATTGGTTGCTTTGGGCCTTGACTACACAGCCTTTCCTAGAGTCTGATTGGCTTAGCTCCCGAATACGCGTACGCGCGGAACGGGCTGCTCATTAGTAGTGCGCACGTGTGGTTTTTCAGATACCCTTGCATCAAAGGTCATTCTGACAGAATTGCCGTGGTCGTTGTCTGACTGCAATGAGAGACTTTAATAGTGCAGTCACCTTTCAAATGGATGAGTTAAGGGTATAAGTTAGCTTTCTGGTAGTGGAAGTGCGCTTGTGCATAGGAACAGAGCAAATATTTGGTTTAGAAGCCACTACAATAATTTGTGGTGGTTTTAAGCTTTGTTTTAGGTTGCATGTGTAATGTTAATTGGTAAGATTAAACTAAACTATTTCATTAAAATTTTGAGGAGTAGGCCTACTTCTATTAGTTAAGATGAGTTAAGGCGAATATGCGTTTCGGTATAGCGATTCTTTATGTCGACACTGTGGCAGAGATATACAGATGCTATATTAAAATAAAAAGTTGAACAGTTATACGGTGTGAATCACTGCATGAGGATGTGCGAAACACATGCTAACAGCAAAAACAAATACATGTGAAATGTATGATGCAGTTCGCATGGTGGAAAAATGAAGACAAAAATGTGACTAGCAAATTAAATACCGCTTCGTGTTCAGAAGAAACGCTATTTGCTATTAAGATAAATTAATCACACCTAAAGAAAAGGTTATCTGAAAAATGTTTATGCTCCATGTGAAAATAATTACAATGTTTTTATGTTTTTTAACAAATAACATAACACCCGATTTCTGGCTATACCCTCCGCTAAGCATCGAAGCAACATTCATAAAATATATATTCCAGACTAAATTTAGAGTGAAAATCTTCTCTCATTGAGGTTTTCTTTCCAAATCTTTGAATTGAAAAATTCCTGGGGTTTTAAGTCTTTTGTAGGTTAAGTGCGCTAAATATATCTCAGAGAGCACTTGGTTATTCCATATACAAGCTCGTGTTAAACACAAGTAACTGATTTTTCCTCGAACGGTATGCAACTTCACAACATGTTTATTGTTTCAGGATGCCCCTAATGTTGCTCCCCCCCCCCGCCAAACAAAAGGTAAAATAAAAGAGTTGCCGCCCATTCCTGATCGGCCAGTGTTTCCCAAGTCCGTGACGTCACGTCGCAAATAACTGATGAGACCACTCAATGCTCCCTTGCAAGAACCCTAAAAAAACGAAATGAGAAGAAAAACAAAAATATCGTGACAACATAATCCAAAAGGATTTTGGCAGACATTTTAACCATCAGAGGCACATTAAGCTATTAATGAAATAATAGAAAAGACGAGAGGGAACTGATGATTTATTGCAGCGTAAATGGTCGCGTGAGGGAAAAGATTTACGGCCGGTAATGTGATCTAATGTGCTAATGAATATAGGATTACAAATTTGAAATTGATGATCTTTTTTTTTACGAGAGAGGCTTACTGAAATTAATGGAGTTCTGAAGTGCGTTTAGGTTATCAAGCTTTCGGTTGTAGTTTCAGGTTTTGTGTTCTGAGGAGTTTCAGCTTACACGAATATTTTTTTGTTTGACTTTGGGCAAAGCAGGTGAACATTTAAGTGAAATCGATACAACTTAAAATAATGTTGTTAAAAATAGATCGATTTAAGGCAGAGCCGTATTAAAGGGACATTACGTCTTGGAACGAATCAACAAACTGTTGAAATAAAAAACAAGTTGATTTATATCAAAAACGCATTGAACTTGAAACAAAGAACAATATTGTGATTTCATTTAAGGTGTATAGTCTACGTGGAACGAAAAGAAAAGGAAAAAGGCAACAAGATCGTCACAGCATGAACATGATGAAGCATTTCCACGATAGAAGTTCCTTAAAATCGGTTGAGTTAGTTTTTGACATGCCTTTATTTGAACACGCGTAATTTCAAAAAGCTGTTAAATCAAACTAATATTTACCAGGAATAAAGTTAAGATTCCAAGCTTTAAAATGATATAAAACTATTGTCGGTACGTGTTTCCGCGGCAACGCTAGAGCCTCGCAAAAAAAAATGTTGCGGGTATTTTGGGACGCGCTGTCAAACTACCATTTCATGTGATGAATGGACATTTGTAAAAGCGTCAGCCAGACTGTTTTTTACACTAACATGCAGTTCAGGACTTGCCGAAATTATAATATCAAAATCCTTTTTCAATCCGCGGGATCGGATTTTAGAAACAGGGAGTTCTTATTTCTCGGTCGGCAGAGAGTCTTAAGACCCAGCTCTACGGAGCATGCTCCAGTTTCAGCCTCGATCCCATCTTTTATTCATGCAGCGGGAGATCAAATGCGACGCGGTAAGCTGGATGACTTATTGCCGGTCCCCTGGGAACGAGGGCAGCGTGAAATACTGATCGTAATATCTAATCCATTTTTAACATAAAAACATCGGCGGGGATTTTTGAACGCGGCATCAGACTCATTTGTATGTGCTGAACACTCGCATGAATTTTCGATGTTAGACTCTTCTGGGAGTGTATGGTTTTTTAAAAAGGAAAATAAATGTGTTGGTCATTGTGCATTGATGTGCTTTAGGCTGCCTAGCCAAATTAAATTTAAACATTCATAATGTAGGCTTCAATAATTTACCAGACCACTTTTGTGTCTTTGCCTTTCATTTATTGTGTTAAAAAGTACTTTGTTTATGATAGTTTTTTCTTTTAAACCCTACCCCAATATAAAACCCGCGTTGGGACAGAACAAAAAATTCTTAAAATCACACTAGAGTAAATTCAGAGAGAAATGTCATGTTATTTAATGTTATTCTTATTTTAACTGGGCAGCCCATCCAATGGAACCCACTGGTCTGGCCCAGTAAAGAGAAGATGATGTGACGAAATTCCAGTTTTAGATGTGGGAGGAAAGCCCCCAGAGGAATATTCTGAAGAAAACCCACGGAATCAGGTAGGGCCTAAAAACCCAATCCACATATTGGCCCTGGCTGGATTCAAACCCGGGTCACAGCGGTGGAAGGCGAGGAAGGTACAGCTACGCCAATCCTGTCCTCCAAAACATTTATGATCTTCTGAAGCTAAAAGTATTGACGCAAAGTTTTGAAAAAGAACTATAAAAGTTATTTGATAGTTCCCTGTAAATGAAATCGTTTACCTTAGTGTTCTTGTGCAGTTAGGTTGCCCTCACAAACATTTATGTTCATTTGAATCAAAAAATTTTACGACACAAACGTTTTGAATATTAACTAGTTCTGCATGTAGCACTTCAAAATATAGGATATGAAAACCCAATTCATGAGCTTTCTTTTAGTACAAGAATCATTCAAATCACCCATGTACTTTTCAAGTTATGGAATTTTAATCACATGTTTGAAAGTTCTGGCCACGGATCACAAAAAAGTAAGCGTTCTTTCAGTAAAACGACAACAATTCACGTACATTGTTTTCGTTTTGCTGAATTGTGCTGAAAGGTGCTCCTTTTGTTGCGATCCGTGGACAGAACTTTAATACGGGTGGCTGTTTTTAAAAACATGTAACTTGAAAAGTACATTAATGATTTGAATGATTCTTGTACTAAAAGAAAGCTTATTATTTGGGCTTTTATTTCCTAGATTTTGATAGTGCTATACATGCAGAACTTCATTAACAAAATGGTCCTGCCATTTGGGTTTCCTTTTTGTTCTGACTCACCCTATATAAGATTAATATGAAAGTTCGCTGTAATGAACTCCATTTGCCCTGAACTCCTTTTGCACAAGGTTATTCCAGATTGGACACGTATATCATAATCCTTAATGACATTATTAATTATTTAGTCAGAATTAAGAGACTCGGTCATGATTAATGCGATTATAATATTGCAACAGTTTAAATAATTAACTGCTCTCCTTGCACCGATGGTAATTAATCATCTAAGAAGTCGGCGATGCCGCTCCGAAACCGCACACACAAGGGAAAAGACAGGTTCTCTTCATCATTGTAGAACAGTAAGATTATTCAGACGAAGACATGTTTTTTTTTTCTTGAGAATTATACTCAAGAGGCAAAACTTCGCGAGCACCGAGTCTTAATGACACCGACCGTGGGGCTTCGCGCGGCGGCTTCCCCGCGCCGATTGGGCAAAGAAACCCGCTTATGTCCTCGCCGGAGCGGAGTCGGGTTCGCTTTTAAATCAATTGTTAGTTCAGTTGCTTCGCTCTTAATGACCCACATCATGTCCTTTACCCTTCTCAAGTATCACTGTTTGATTTTTTGTATAAACGTGTATTTGATGCATGGGTTTATTATTCACAGAGGAGTTAAGTAGAAGTGAGGCAACTGTATGTTCTTTGCCTAGGGAAAAGTGGATAACAAAAGCTGCTAACGATGATAGGCTAATAACGCCCCAAAAAAGACCTATCGTATTTCAGCCACAAAATCAAGATCCTTTCTCTCTCCTTCCCAGGTACCCTTAATTTGAATCTGGACCCTAAAGATGGCTGCCTACACTCTAAAAACTCCCCGCTCAGATTTGACCCGGAAAAGGGTCTTGTGGGGCCTGACCCTTTTCCGGGTCACAAATGACCCTTTTCCGGGTCACAAATGACCCTTTTTCGGGTCAAAATGACACTTTCCCGGGTCAAAATGACCCGAAAGATGAGTCACACAGTCTAATTTTGACCCACAAAAGAGTCATTTTTTGACCAGGAAAAGGGCCAGGCCCCACATGACCCTTTTCCGGGTCAATTCTGACCCGGGACTTTTTAGAGTGTATAAAGTAAAAGTACTTTGTTTTTTGTAAGTAAGCTGCGAACGGATACAACTGTTCTACAGTATGTCCCAAAAACTTTTCAACAAATTTTGGCGGACTCGTAGTATTTTTCACTTTTGAAGTAAAATAACCTCAACAAATATCCAGTCATATTTGATGCCTGTTTGACATGTAAATAATTGCCAAAGCAATAAAGTCTGTTTTGCAGTATAACGAGGTACAATAGGACCCAACCATAGATTACGTATCTTGGTACACAGTGTTTCTTTTTATAAATTGACTTGTTTCCTCTTTATTTTTGGGGCATTCTGAGAACTATTTGTCAATATTTTATCATTATAACTTTGAACAATGCATCCACATGATATTTGGGAATGGGCCTTATTCACGAGTCGGCCATATTGAATTGAGAGTGAGGTAAAATCTAAATTTTTTGAATTAGCGAAGAGAAATGAAAGCAAGTTAATTCTTAATTAATTCCAGTCTGCTTCAATGAATAATTTCAAATTTGTAATTAAAAATTCCCTAATGTTTAAAGCCACATTTAAAAAAAAAAGACAGTAAAATAAGGCTGCATTGGGCCCGCATAAATAGTCTGGCGCCATCCATTGAACAGTTAACACTTAATGACATACGTTCAGGGAACTCGACAAGAATTGCCAACTCGTGAATAAGGGCCATAAAGGTGTGTTTGCACGTCATGATACATCCTCTAGGTGTACGAATAAGCACTACGTGATGTGCTGTATTATGCGAGTATTTCATCAAAAGCGAATCAATTGTCAGGTTTCCAGGTTTCTGTATGAAGTCTCGTAAAGTCTCGCGAGGTTCTGAGGTCAATAGGTCAAGTGATGAGCATATTTGTTGTCATTATACTCCGATTCTCTCTGGAATTTCCGGTTGGGATTCAAAATGAATTAGGAATCGTCGTCTGGTCATGGAACCGCACTCAAGGACGGCAAATATGGTTAATCTTTAACCACAATGCCCCTGCTTTGGAATTCATGTGCATTTTGGCAGTGTTTTGAGATGGCAATTTGCGCGATTGAAGTAGTAATAGCAAGTGTTTGTAAGATTTAATTCCACTGTTTTTGACTTGATTTATTTTCCCCCATGCGTGATGTCTGTTATTTACCGCTTTTGGTGGTCTGAATCCTTTAACTTGGAAACTTCATTGTTTTTTCGAATAAAATGGTGTAACAGAATACCATGAGAGGTGGAATTTGTAAAGGGCCTATGTTTGGACATTTTATTTTAAGGAAACAATCATCGCATACCAAAAAAAAAAACTAAGGCTGGAGAGTTTGATTTTCCCCTCATGAGGGCGCTGTGATGCATCCAGTTTTGTGTCAGGAAGCAAAGCAAAATCAATTCTACTCTAAAATCTTCAAAACTAATTTGATATTCTAATTGAAACTCATGGGGTTTTTTTTTAACAATTCATTTTTGCATTTCCTTTTTTTTATATTTTGTCCCGATTTTCATCGTCTGCTTAGAGGGCAAGGTTAATACCAAAAGCGCCCTCAAGAGTTTGAAGGAAGGAGGGAAGTCTACGCATGCGTACCTTTAACGTCTGCTCATGTGGCGTTGGATGGCGGCCAACACTCTGTTCATCTTGTCATTGTAGTACATCCCTTTCACGTTGTCAATGGCACTAAGTCCTGTTTGCCGCATCTGCCGTTTATCTGTGGCGGAAGAAGCAAAGAATTGTGGGATAATGAGGGACCAAAATCTTACTAAAAAGTCACCAAAACTAATCACAAAACGGTTAAATGATGTCACCTCTGCAGGCTTTTGTCAATGCAAAGAGCTCGCATGACTATCGAATGATTCCAAAATGGCGCCCTCCGAAACACGATCTATCATGAAATCAACCTTAAATCCAAGCCACATTCATGTCAATACATGTGTGACTTTGATGCCTCTTTAAACTACATTTGATCTAAAACTGGAAACCGTTAACCAAAATCTATAAGTGTTTTCCAGTCCAGTATGAAAACACGCAACCCTTCATATCGAACTTGATATCTGGCCACGAACCACTAGTACCTAGAGCTGCAGAGAGTGTAATCTAATAGAAGCCCTTGTTAGACGCCTTTACTCGTGGCAACACACCCTTGGCGAACCTGATCTTGAAACCCAAGAAGTTTCAAATATGTTCGCCATTAAGGTCTCCCCCTATTCATATCACGCGTGGATGAAACATCAGACGGGGTGTTTTGCAAGAGAGTCGCCCGTAGAGGCAACAGCCCGAGCCGATTGTCACTCTCTATTTCCGATTTTCATTGGGTAATCAAAAAAAAAAAAAAAAAATCTCGCGCCGCGCCGAGTGATTCTCAATTACACCCCTTTTGATTGTTTCGTTCGAGGAACCCACTGTGTCGGTTCAAGAGAGTGATACACGCTCAGGTCAAGAGGTCAACCATTTGCCAAACCTGGGCCAAGTCAGCGGCTCCGGCTTCAGGCTCTTGACTTGGGGAGTCGCCGGCTACACATGGTTCAAAGATGTTCATCGGGAACATAAAAATCTTGCGAGGCCAAAGTTACGAGTATTTCTGTTTGGTATGAATATAAAAACGCTTCGAAATGATTCCGGAGTAAGAATTGTAGCCGAAGCTGATGACAACGCCGACATTTGCAAAACAAGTCAGTAAATATTAATAATTAGCATTATGATCACAATAACCCTCCAGCTGTCTGAACAGTCACAGGCAGTGGAAAAAAAATTATCCTCTTCCCCTGCCATGTCTTTTACACAGGCTAGTCACCAACAGTCAGATCAAATTTCAAGCAAGCATGTGACTAGCCAAATTCAGTCAACAGACAAAACACGGCAAGTGGTAAACACAGCCAAAGCATAACTGTATCAAGTTACATTAAAAACATTCACAGCCAGTAAATCTTGCTTTATTTATAGGCTAGGAGCTCTTAACTGTTAAAACAGTCACATTATTGATTGGGACTGAAAGAACAACTTGGCACAGAATGAATGTTTGCATAGGAGGTTAAGCCACACACTAGTACATCGGGTCAGAAACGTCATGCATAACTAATGAGCAGCACTGTTACACTACTCTCAGTATGTTCTCCCGTAGGTGTTTATGACAGACCAGGTGCGTGTGGAGACATAACTTGAAAAGTTGACAGATGATAGATCAGATGATTACATGTCTGTTGGAGGTCAGTGGCCAATCTTGAGAGCTGATTGAAATTCTTGCTAGTGCAGGAGGGTAAAGTTTCAGCTAACAGAAAGAGGTAATATTATAACCCTGCGATATCCGCGATGTAATAAGTAGTTATTTAATTCCGATATGTATATATTCATATACGTATTCGGGATTCTCAACTTGAAGGTGGTTTGCCCGATGTATGCCTAACTCGGGTGGATAAACCACTTATTTGATTTTCTTTTAACTAGAAATACGAAGGCAAGAGCAATCTAACCTCGACGGTCTATGCATGTTGCACTAAATTCAAGACTGGATAACATTGGTTCTTAATATAGGTATTATTTTATGAAACTATATCATCCAACGTCAAAATTGATTGAGAATCCTGTTCACAATGGGCATCACGATGAAAATAGTCAGGCGCCCGAGGCGCAATGTCCAACACCCAATTGATATCAGCAATGCAAGCAGGAAACTCGACAAGGTGGGTGTTATATTATCCTAGATTCTATTCAGCTTAACACCACCTCGTCCCCAGGGGGTGAATTACAGTTCGGCCTACACTCTACGATCCTAACATAAAGCGTGTGCATGAATACAACCTAACTAATAGACGCCACGGTGTATAAATATTACCACGCACGCAGCTAAACATCCTGAGGTGTGCATGTGGGGAACTATTTCTTGTTATAACCCCCTTTCCCAAAGCGGTTTGTGGAAAATTCATCAATTTTGCACTTGCGGTTAATGTTTCTCCATCGAATGATGGCCCCTAACCCTGGATAAAAACCACGGCACTTATTTTAAGATCTAACCAACAGCCTCAATTATTCATCTCCTTAATTTCAAGCGGCGGTCGACGTGTATTGTACCTTTTTAGACTCGGACTTTAGGCGTCATTTGTTTTGTCAACACGGTCTCCAGAAATAAACTGGTGCCCGTGCGGTTGATTGGAACTGGTAACCGCCACAAGGGTTGCCGATGACATTGGTGTATCGTCTTGCTCCGAGTAAACAAAGAGAAATCACACAAGCGGCCGACATTCTATAGATATCCTTCTCAATGTTCAAACGGGCCTTCCGGCCGGACATCTGATAGGTGGGGCAATTTACAAGAGGACACCTAGGCAAACAAGATTGGTGAGCCCAAGCAGATGAAATTGCATCGCAGAAAGTAAAGGTAATTCCAGAAAATACGCTAGAATACTCCTTGACTTTTATGGAAATTGAGGATACTGGAATATCGAGTCATATCTTGGCACTTGTTTTTGCCGCGCAATTCTATCTCTTTATGGCGGGAAAGATGAGACACGCGGCGGTGGATTTGAAGCAGCAGAGACAGCACACGTGTCAATTTGCATAGCGTGAAGACTCCATCAGAACAAAAACTGACGAAAAAAACATCGTCCTTTTTGCCCATTTCTTATAATTGCCATGGCAGACCCTGTGTACTTTCAATGTGGATTCATATTTTATTATATTATTAAAAAAAATTCTTCGGGAAAGACGCCGCCTCCACCGTTTTTGTAATAATAGGTGGTTGACCATCGTCAATGGTGCAAATGCAAAATTATCGACTTTTTCGCGCTAAATTGATTACCAAAAGTCTTCATTGTCCTGTAGTTGTTTGCATGTCTTTTGAGTCGAAAACATCCTGTCCGTTGAACAAAGAGGAGGATTCGGTATGAAAATTACAGCACCGTTTTCCATACGGGTCATATGAGTTTGAAATGACCGGGAACGACCCTAAGTCTCGTGTGGTCTGCAATATCTGTTGGTGACTTTCTGGTTTTTTCCATACCCTTTTAAACCATCAACATAATAATTGACAACATGGTAAGGCCAAGTTAAAAAAAAAAATACCAGTGATCGTCCCCACTGGCGTCCTTTTTAGAAGCTGCATAATTTTTTAAATTTTATTTTATTTCAGACATTTTTTGTTTGTTTTAATATTTCAGAAGTTCAGATGCTTCTTACAGCTTCACGTATGTTCAATAAGCACTTTTAGGAGGTTTTGTGGTCATCAACTAGCAGACAACTATCCAGAACTATCGAATAAAAAGGGGCCTCCTCCTTTTTTAAGGCACATATCGTGTGAGCTAAATATGGCTATTTTAGACATGGCCTAATTACAGAGAGGTTAAAATAAAACATTACCTGACTTTGGAAGATATCATGTCAGGGCCGTTTTCGTGATAGAACATGATGGAACAGCTAATGGGTTCATATTTTAAACCACTCACGGACTATTCTTTGTAAAAGAAAAATGCCAGAGACTAAAATGATTTTAACGGCAGGTTTTTTTGAAACTTATAAAAATAAATACACTTAAAATTTAAAATCTCCTGCAATTACTTACATGTCCTATGCAACCGTTTGACATTTTAAAGAGTATTTGGATCTGAAGTTTTTTCCTTCGAATGTTATCACAGCAAGCTTTGGCAAACGCGTAGAACTACTAAACATGTGGCCTTAATCTGTGACCAAATTCAGGCAGCCATGAGCACGTCCAAAGGTCCTCGAGCGGAGCCCTACCCCGCACTAATGATACCTTTACGGAGATGCTTATGCGAGCAATCCGCGGGTGTTTCTAGACTGTAATGCAGGGCACATAGTAGGGCAATAGTTGTCGTAAATCCCTCGCACGCGTGTGCTATACGCGATACTCGGGCGTGCACACTACGCGCGCGGTTCACGCGATGCACGCGATGAAGGTGACGACACGATGAACACGTTGCACGCGATTCACGCACAGTTCGCGCTACGCTCGTTACATCTGTTGCGAGTTGCGAGGCCCTCGCGATCGCCCGCGTGTGCTTTACGCGCAACTCGCGCGTGCACACGATGCGCGCGGTTCACGCGTGCACGCGATGAAGGTGATGAACACGATGAACACGTTGCATGCGATTCACGCGCTGTTCGCGCTACGCTCATTACACACGTTCCACGCGCTCCTCGCACGAGCGCTGCACACTCGACTGAAACTCCTCTCAAAAGTAGGCAAATCATGCCATTAGCTACCCTAGCGGCGCTGCATATCTCCAGAGTAAAAACGAAAGACTAATAAACCTAGTTCAACTCTCGAGACTTCTGATTAATTCTGGCGCAGATTGGATGAGAAAATGAGGTTATTATCGAGGCTGGCGGGTGCACGCCCGTCGTTATCGAGGATGAGAGCAGAAATCCCTCGAGTCAAAAAACTGGAAAAGCATGTCATCCGGATAACGGAATTCCGAATTAGAGCGGCCTTCAAAAACAGATCAGCGGGGTCATTAAGAACTCATCAGAACGGCTACTGAAGTTACTGATTACATTAAAGAAGAATTACTTCCGTATCAAATTCCCATCCATTTGTAAGATAAATTAGATTATAGGGGCCTTATCAACCAGTATCTATTTTTGGCAAACAAAAAACTATTTTTTTTGTACGATTGGTTATAGTTTTATCACCAGAACAGCGACTGTCTTCCAATGAAGAGAAATATCTATTAAAAAAAAAAGTCAACCGATGCCAAA